CTCCAGGCTAGCTCGTAGTTTTACCTTCCGGTCTTTGCGAGTCTCGTGTTCGCTTCCAGCCGAAATGTACCGTCGAGTATTGAAAAGTTTCACTGACTGCGAAGAGTCCCAAGGTCTATTTTAGCTTGTGGATTTACCACATGATTTACCTGCTTCTGGTCTAGTGAACATGCGACCAGTGACTTTCAACTGTATTCAATGAACGCTTGTTCAACCCGAACGCCAGCGTACTTCGATGCTCATTCAGAACAGCTGGTTTCATCAGTTGGCTGATATCAATGCCCTCACAACGTCATCTTGGGCGTCCGCCAAAACGCATCCGCACATACAAGTGCTTGGTCGGTGTCCACACATGTTCTCCAAATCGAGCGACAGTTCTGGACGCAGTATCTCCATCGGTACCTTATCGCAGTGTGATCGATCTGCGTCCATAGCTGGCTCGAGGCTGGTGGGCGCGAAGTCACTCTCCGGCGGGTGCTGTGTCGGAAACTAGTGCTCGCAAGAAATAAGCGAGCATCTTCACACAAATGAAGTAACCGTTCACCGTTATCATTACGGGAGCCTACACCATATTGGCGGCCCAGATGCAGCGCATCAGTGGACAATTTCCCGACTTGAGCGTTTAGATCCCCGGCAAGCACTACAGTGTCCGCGTTTCTTCTGTGGTGAAGGAACTCCTTCAATTGACGATGGAAGCGTCTTTCACGAAATCATCGCTACAGTTTGTGGGCACGTAGGCAGCGATGATAAACAGATACCTATTAGCCCCTCGTGACCTTGATGCTTTGAACGAGCTAGCCGCTCGGACCGCACACATCCGGCTACTGATTGGAATCCAATCAACCAGAGCAGCTTCAGCCCGGGGACTCACGGCAATACCGACGCCGGCTTGGCCGGTGCTCGAAGCTGCATCGTCACCTGATAGGTGTAATGAGAAAATACTGCTAGTGTCACCTGAAGGGGATCGCAGAGTGAGCACAGAGCTCGGGTCTTGTAGGCGGCTTTCCGATAGGCACTAAATATCGATCGAGAGGGTCTCTAATGTTCGGGCAAGTGCTGCCTGTTGACCGATCTGTAACAATGTGCGTACGTTGAGGCATGCCAATCTGAGGGAGGATCGGGGGCTCCAAATAGAAGCCGATGAACTGGGTTTGACCGCTTGGTTAGACATGGGCTTGTCGATAGGGCAAGAGTGACGCTCCGCGTTTGCATGTGAGTTGAAACTAGAAGCTAAACGCCTATCAAAGCATGGTGGGGGAGGGCCAAGAATTTGGGGTTGAAAACGGGGGATCGAAGTGAAGGTGGTACGGGACCATAAGGGCGAAAAAGCGCAAGAGGGAGAATAGGAAGACGAGAAGGCGGGAGCATTTGTATCCAAATCTCTATCTACCCTGCTTGATGCAGCTGACAGGGCACCGTTGATTATCCTCTGCGGGGGCCAGAGCATCAAGAAATTGTTTGAAGAAAGATTCATTGTATTGCGTGGGCAGGATACTGTCAGGTTGTCCAGGCCTAGACAGGAGAACGATTAGGGTTCTCAATCAAAGCCTTTGGTTCAAAAACCTGACCGCAAGGCAGTGAGTTTGACAGTGGACTACAAAAGTCTGTTTTAATGAATAAGGAGCCGCCCTCATTCCAACCCCGAACCTTGAGGACCAGGAGGCTGAGTTTCTCTGGCCTCTAACCATTGACCAATCTTGTATGAATGGCTCTGAAAATGCAAACTGGCACCACCCTGCATAGCTTAATGGATCGCTGAGGCACGCAAACCATCGCTCTAGCCTCATTGCGATGGACATCATAAATAAGAAGAACGTAACAGTTTCTAGCGGAATAAAATACAACTTGCACATAGAAATATGTTACTGTGGCTACTTCTAATGTTGGGGCATATCAACATTTTTAATAGTAGCGAGAGAGAACAGACAACAAGGTTGGGTTGCTCGCCGAGTTGTGCAGTGGGATTGCAGATCTTTCTTCAACAGTGTAGGTGACGTCTTAAGTGCAAGCGTGGTCGCGATTTGGTAGCAGATGCTGGCAGAATGCAGCTCAGATGATTGTTTCCAGCCACTCCTATGTTCGTTATATAGACTCCTGCTCGCTGTACTTTCGCCTTATTTTGCTTGGTTAGTTATCGTACCATGCGTTCATATTCGTGCTTGCCATCCTTCACAATGATATTATTGCTATTTGATTTTGCCCCACAGTGTGATTGGCTCAGTTGGTGTAAGATTGCCATTCTCATCTAATGTCGGTTCCTCTGTTCATTTGGGGCAACCGATTCTTTAGAACAGTGAATTTCATTTAACTTGTCCTTTCTAACCTATTGATTTGAGTACTAGATGAGTGTCGATATACATGTTTATTGTCTTTTTTGTGAAGAGCTAAGTTTCATGGAACTCCTCTTTTCGCGTTCATCTTTGGGCAAGGATCTCTGTTTGATTTCATTCACGTTCACGTTTGCTGAAATCAGTGACGCTGCGTATTGTTTTTGCTTGCTATTGCTTCTGTATCCTTGTTACTTTATTTCATGCTTGTCCTACAGAGTGATTTTCACAACCCTTACACTTTCTCTTGCATACAACATTTTTGTCGCTCTTGTGCTTCTGGTTTCCCCTTCGTTTTTGATGACGTTTTCCTCAGTGTCACGATGGGTCTGTTGGATACTATGATCTAGTACTTTTTCGATATGTTTTTCTTGGCAGAATAATCTTGTTCTTTTTTGTTGATGTGGACTCGGTATTTGTGTGCTTTTGGTTTATACATCTATGGATGAAACTGCGTTGGACGAGTCTTTCCCTTCTCTTTTTCCTTCAGTAGTACTACAGCGGGATTCATTCCTTTGAAATAATCTCCACACATGGCTTATATTGTGACATTTTGTACGGTTGCTATTGAAATTCAAGATGTGGCCCGTGTTTTTGCGTTTCCTGTAGACGGATATTCCCAATTCCACGTCCGCTGTCCCGTTCACTAATACGTCCAAGTAGGAAAGTTTTTTTCTGTCTCCGACTCCAGTGTACATTGGATGTCGCGCACAGCATTGTTCAGGAGCTGGTGGTCGGTCGTCACTTGACTACGCTTAAGTATTACAAACTTGTCGCAGTTTCGTAATCAGCAATAGATTCACTTCTAATTTTTGCATGACGATCTCCGCAGTAAGTCCTGACACAGGGGCTTCGATTTGTACACCTGCTTGCTGGTAAGTTTCTCCTTTAGATGTGAAGTACATTGAGCGGCATGATTGTCACATTCCCAATCTTCTCTCCACCATTGTCCAGTCGTTCCGCGGTGAATTCTTTTGTCAGTCGTACATTGATGGAGGTGAATAAACCGGTCACCTCGAGGGACATCTTGTTTTATCAGATCCATTCGTAGTACTTTGAGCTTCGCCAGTTTTTGTAAGTCATTGTTTCTACTGTTACGATGCGCCCCTCAGGTGCTTGAGATGTCTCCATGGTTCTTTTGCCAAGTTGTAGGTGGGCGTACCTGGAGTGACACAATTGGTCGTAGTAGTACATCATTTTTGTGCACTTTCGGAAGTCAATAGAATTGTATAAGATTAGAATCGCGGCCTTCATTCCAATTCGTTCTTCTTGCAGAATTTCGTTCAGTTACAGATCTGTTTATTCCGTTTGTTAGCTGTAATCTCGGGTCGTTTCCAACGTGCTTAATAAGTAGTTGTATCGTTTAAGAACTGTTTTGCTTTCTCAATGTAATCCGCACTCATCCCTTGTCAGGGGACAGGATAACTATTGATTCGTCGGATTTATGACTTTGCTCTTGTCGAGATAGAACATCACAATGTTTGTTGTGTGTCATGACAGGGTCAATCGTATGTTTTATTTGCCTTGGGGTGCCCTCGCTAATTCCATCGAATCTCGCTAGCAACTCAACGGTTGCACCGTCTTTGAAGTTGTGGTTTAGTCCTTTTATGAGGACTAAATTTTCTGCATCACTGAGTGGCCGATTAGAAACGCTCCTAATCCAGTCGTTATCAGCGCATTCTTCATTACTGTGGGTCAACTTGGACAAATTCTCATGAAGCGCCGTCTGCTCTTTGGCTGTGGTCTATCAGCTATTGCCCCGCAGTTTGTTAACAAAATCTCGCTGTTCATTCGGGCACCGTCTCAGTTTCCTCTGTCGTACGTTTCGAATATGTGTTTAGGGCCAACTGCAAGTAACCTATCGTTAACCGCGCGGGAGATCTACTGTCTATCTCTTTCTGAGCCGTCTTGCCGTCCTCTTCTGTGCATCCCATGGGTCCTGCCAAACAGGACGTGATCGCAGTATAAACTTGCTTTGTATGACTCGAACTACACTGTAGTACCCCATCAGTGTCTGTTTTCGATTAATCGCTTTTAAACACGCCGTTCTCATAAATTAGGCAATCAAGTAATGACAGCACGTATTTCAAACTCTTTATTTCATTGTAAAGTTTAAAACCATTAATGGAGTTCTAAAAGTTCATATTTGACTCCCCGGGATACTGAAGTGTGAGTATATCTACTAAATGTGCATGAGTATTCTCAGCTTTTGAAACCAGTGATTTTGTCAACACGATCTCAATGCTAAGAATAACTTCTTCTGCTCTGAACTTTGCTTACGGAACAGAATGTAGATTGCTAGAAAAGAATGACTTCTGTAAACAACTTCAAATAAGTGCCGAAGAACTCATCCCTAACTGAGTCTGTGGTGATGGAATTACTCGTTTCAGAAACTGAAGTTATTCATGCAAAGATAGTTGATATTGTTTGATTTCGGCAACCCAGGACGTCAAATTTTGCAACAGCTTAGCGTTTCGCACTAAAGTCCCTAGGGAAAGATAGTACCATCATCATCATCATCACAAATCCTTGGGTTAGGCGATGACCATCAAACATACATGACTATTCTTTTTCCACAGCTTAATCTTCACTATTCGTCGCTGTTGATTTGCTTGCATATGCTACCGATGATATCAATCAGTTGTCCAATGTCCTCCTCTTTATCCTTCTCAGATGACTTTCTTCATCGCATACGCTGCAATCCGGATGAACACGGTCCGGCGGTAATCGACTTTCTCTCCCAAGAGTTGGAATTGAAGCGAATGGCATGCACTGGGTCTTCAACTCCATTACGTACCGTTCGCCTGTTTCCATCTAATTTAGGTCATCAAATATCTGATGAAAGCATTAAATGTGGCATGCTCCTTTATTTGGTGAGTGCTTGGTTCCTTGGGTTACAGTCATCCGGGCATACCCATACTATTATTTTGAATGTTTTGATTGTGACCGATTCTTGTACACTACTTTGCTTACTTATCCTTTCATGTATCTATCAAATTAAGATCTGTCTTCATCTGCCATGTAGTACAGACGCTCTTAGAACTATATTTCTTCGGATTATACGGAGTTTTTCCATCCCGGACTGATGTATGTAGTTCACTCAATGAGTAGCACACCTGTCGCATTAGTCATTGTTTAGTGCCGTGCCGTGTGGCGACATTATTTCCGTACTGTTTTTTTCCTACACTATACCTTTCTCAATTGATTAAATCCTCGTTGCCATCGCTTTCATCCGTAAACCAACAGCTTCCCATCGTATCGCAGAAACTCTTATCCGATAGTCACCGAAACTGCATCTAGGAACGCATTGAGTGGTCCATCGCTATCAGCCAATACCATTTGGACAATATACCAGCATGGATGTTTAACCTAGACCCACATGCGGCTCAGAGCAATCGTGCTTTGGTAACACTTAAGCTAGACCCACACAAGGTAGGAAACATCCGGTTGGCCGGCAATGGAGGCCTTGCTACACGGACCTCAGCCATTCGCTCGGATAGGTGCTCAATATGTGCGCGTTAGCGTTGGACAATAGAAGAAGTTGAAGTAGGTGTTGGTTCACATATCTACACTCCGCCAGGTACTCGAGCGTCGTCAGAAATTTGGCCGCGTTTAACTCAGTTGATCGAGTATCTCCCTGGAGTTGTCCACTGAGAAGTGAGTGCCCGAGAATTAAGTTACCGTTCTTCAATCTAATACTGTCAGACTTCGAGCAGAGTGCGCATGTACGGCGGACCATTGCTCAACCCCCTAGTATCACCACTGGCGTGAGATAGGGATATCCGGTATTTCCTTTCCTGTTCAACTTCGCTATGTACGATATTCTGGAGAGTGCTCTGGATAACTGCGAACCCAGCGGCGTCGAGCTGCTGCCGCGTTACCGACTTCTGGACTTGAAGTATGCGGGTGACATCGCCGTAATTTACGACTCTTCGCAGTCCGCCCAAACTACCCTGTGTAGGTTGTAGGCGACTATCCTCCAGTTTGGAATGACCTTCGCATCATCGAAGCGCAAGTTCTTCCTGCAGAACTGGCTAAACACTGCTCCTATCCTTATCCTTTCAAGCCATTCGTTCGAAGTGATAAACAACTTCGTTTACCTCGGAAGCTGTCTTAACGATAATGGTTTAACGAATGAAGTCTCGTTGCGCGTCTACAAGGCTCGGGTTGATTTTGCTAATCTCCATCGTCTGGCGCGAGGCGGTCTGAGTCTCTCAGATGGACCGAGCTTACAATACCACGGTTTGAGTGGTCCTGCTCTATGGCTGTGAGATTCGGCCTTTTCGCGCCAAGGATGTTGCGCGGCTGTCTTTTTTTGATCACCACTGCCTTCGCAACATTATTGGTGTACAATGACAACATCACACTAGCAGTGAGAATGTTTGACGAAGGATTTTCATAGCAGACAGACTTTGCAGGTCGCTGAGCAACATAATTTAAATGCGCAGACTTTAGTGGCTTGGCCATGGGCTTCGCATGCCTACTCATCGTTTGTTTCACCGTCCCCTCTTCGCGCGCGCAGAAGTCGGCTGGAAGCGAAAGCAAGGTGGCCAATCTATAACTTGGGCCAGACGTATGAAGGTGCTAACCTCCAAGCTATCCTTGATCGGGAGCTCTCAACTAGCCAGCAGTGGTCGCAATGATCACGAACACACCTGGTTGGAAACCTTCTCGGATACGGCAAGAAACCGTATGCAATGTCGAACATGCTGTTCCACTCTACTCCCACGAACATTGTTTTACATTCTTTTTCTCTCTTTTTGTTTGTTTATTGCATTTTCCACACGTTGTGCCATTACACCAATTGTACTATTGGTCATATTCTGAGTATGTGTTTTGAATATAGTTGGTTCACGAACCTGTCCAAACCACAAGACGAGGAATGTTAGCTTTACTAATCCATAGTATTAAGACATGCTTAGTCTAGGCATCGTATCGACGCTACATAGTTGAGCAGTACAATAATGTATGCTTTTAACATTGGCGCTGACGTCTTTTGTGCTGCTGCTGATGCTACTGATACCGAGTAACTTAAGAATGCTGAAATCCGAATCCGAAGGTTGGGGTCAAATTTAGTGAACATGCGTTCACAGATTACTTACCGTGGGGATCACCGGGCTCCCGATATGTCTAACCGTTTACTAAACTATCACGGTCGCATCCGATGTTGACGCAATGTTTCATCAAGCTAAAATCCCAACTTTGCTAGATTAACGACGGCTTTTGTTTACGCATATACTGAATATTGCATGCCAATACATTCGTTTTATGGCCATCCCGTTATATGGCTGTACAATCTTCCCACTACAACGAGCTATTATCGACAGTGTAAGGGGATTTCAATCAGTGATTAAAATTACAAATAGAGTTTTTATGTCTTAACCTTTGTCTATTGAGTGCTTATACCGTTTAGGAATCAGTCTGTTCTTGGTTGATGGAGGACTTTATCTGACAAATGGATTAACAATATGAACGAAATTATCGCTCTTTCGCCCGATATCTAACTGAATGTTTGGGGTATTGGAGATGTCCTTATTTTAAAGTGGAATGTCACCCAAGACCGCATGGACCTCAACTTGGGTGTCTTGAGGAGTCATGCTGTTGTTTGTAGCTTCAGTCTATGGAGCCTCTCCCAGGTGATCAATGGGTTTGGAACCATTAGCTATACTGCACAACTGTACTGGGCAACTTATTCACTTAACGTCGCACAAATTCATTCGGATACAGTGTATCTTCAATACATTTACATTATTTTTCGGATGCTTGTGAGACCGGTCATATTTTGTTTTGTTTCGTTTTTTCTACCCAGCCCATGCTTCAAGTATGGGTTCACTAGTCCAGTTTTCCGTGCTCCGTTTCATACGACATAATTTGCCTACGGTTCGCAACGTTACTGCATGCTGCACTAGCATCTAGTTTGGTCAGACTAATTAATTACAAGTGGCGCCTCGTATCACGCTTGATACATTGTTCACGATCATCCTGAGGTATCCGTTTAGCTCTGATGGTGCAGTCTCATTTCAAATGTTACTGGCATGTCCGCTCGGTTCATTCTTTTCATTTACATTTCAAACTCATGCTGCAAACACGCCGCCCATACGTGTTATGAATTACCTTATCTTCATCATCCCACCACTTTCCAACCCGGTTGGTGATGCGATACTCATTATCAGGGCGCTGTAGGAGTAACACTATTGACGATCTGCTATACTCAGTGGACACGTGTTGCTCTGTTCTTGACGTTCACTCCCCACTTATAGGCCTGGTTACTAATAATAGGAGTTCTGACAGTGTTCACTTATCCGATGATGCTACCCCGCTTGCGGACCTTGGATACTGCACGACACAGGTGCGCCGCTTGTGTGTCTGTCCTAGCCTCACAGCACCGTTCCATCGTGGAAGTGCGCATACACTACGCTGTGAACTGAGTCGGGTTTGTCCAAAAGATAGAACATTTGTCTACTCTGAGTGGCTGGAGTGCGCTTACTACGGCTGGTTGTTTGAGCTTACATAATCGATGAACTTCCGTCAGTTTGTTATAGTTCCCTTACCTCTCATGTGTTGCGCCAACTGTTGGCTTACATCTACGCTTTTGTTGACATCGGTGGTACCTCCACGAAGTTTTCAATTCAGCCTCCATCCATGTTTTGAGGGATACAATTCATGATTTATGTACAATGTTCCAACAAAAGTCCAGTTCGCGTAGAGGTCACTTTACAATAATTATCCTCAGACCATTGTATTGATAAGAAAAAGTAACGCAGTATGCTAGGTTGAGGACTGCTGCTGTTTGAACGTGACCGATAAATTGGATCGCTAATTATGTCGATTAATTGGAAGTAGCCTTCGCAGCCGATATTACACTGTCAGGTTCCAACATCGAGAAATTGCCGTAAGACCAAGGCAACAAGCGGGCTTGTACGAGGGCTTTCTGCTTGTACAATTTGGGCCGGATCGGCATGCTAGCGATTGCCTCTGCCGTCTTCGATAGCTGCTTTCTGAGCGCTTTGGGATGACGTGGCGGCAAGAAGTAGAAAACGCTGAGCCCATCTGTTATCCGGCTTTCATGTCTGCTTAGGAGCAAATGCTCTTCGTAGCGACCCACGGCAGCGTTCTACTCCCCGTTTTGACAAACGCCTGGTCTTGTGTCCAATATATCATGCACCGCGGATGCAAATAAACTGATACAGAATGTATGATTTGGGCTGGTCCATGTGTCTGTCCTTGAGACGTTATGTTACAAATGGTACAATCTGCGCAAGCACACGCGGGTACGTGGCTGCGTAGGTTTTGGCCTGAGAGGGAGTCTGTTCTCTCAGTGAATTAAGGGCGGCACCTCTTTTGAGTGAAACAGAGAGAAACATGTCTTCTTTGGTACAGCCACTGCGGTTTCCAGGCGCACACGGATGGCTGCGTGCTTTTTGAAAAATGGAATGGGGGATCATTTCTTTTGCAACAAATTGCAGATGTGATCTTTTTCGGTATCCAGTGTCTTCAGGCTACAGATACTGGAGGCCTGATAGTGCTAGCAACGAACTAATTGCCGTTTGTGTTGCAAATGTACAAAGCTTACAAAGTGTGTGTATTGGCCGATCCATGTAAATATCCGGAAATCGCTTCCCTCTAGAGAGCGGTTATTCTGTCGTTTCAGTAGAACATCTAAAAATGCAACTTTCCTTCGCTGTTGATCTCATTCGTGAAATGCAATGATGGATGTTCACTATTGAATTAAGCTAATAGACAAGGGACGTCTGATTTCGAATCACAGACAATAAATGTATCATGCATGTACCTGAAGTAGGGATCAAGCGAGAAGAACATCGGTTGCATGATGCCAGATTCCAGTTTCGCCAGGAAGACATAAACTAGACTC